GTATCCATATTGAATAGCGGACGTCGTATAGGCACCACTGGCTGTCGAAAAACGGTATTGGTCTCGTTGGGGTTATTGGTGGAAAACGTTTTTGCGGAGACATAGGTCTTTGTGGCCAAATTGCGTTCCAGCTACATAAATAAATAATGTTTTTGTTTAGAATGATATTTCATACAATTTTTTTGATGCCCCACTTACTCTTGTTTTTGCTACATTACGATCACATATATGTCCACAGGAACACTGTCGTTTACGCATTCTTTCGCTCAAATTGGCAATCAACAGCAGATGCTTAAGTTTATTTGCAACGCCAGCGGAAGAAAGTGATTTAAGCAGTTCATGATCATCGCATTCATTTGGATTGTACGGCATACCACTTTGCTTTTGCATGAAAACTTTCGTATCCGACTGCGTCATGGAATCAAGTACAGTCGCAACGTTTGGACTACTGCTTCCAACTAGTGCCACGCTGCAGCCACCGGTGCCATTTATGGTGTTTGCATTATTCACAGCAGTACTTGTGCTAGCACCGTTCGCAATCGGTAGCGCTTGTTGCTGCCTATCTGTCCAGTAGTACTCCAGTTCGAGCTTAGAATCCTGCCCCAGAACCACATAAAGATCCCCGATGGTTATATCTGCCGCAGTTGAAACGGTCCAGCCCTTTCGTATGCGTCGTATAACTCCCTCACTGATGAGTGGCCTAAAATTGGGTGCACTGGTGCGTCCAGCACCGCGCGTATTAGCGTTTCGTCGCATACGCGTCTGATTGGCGGTAGTGTGTTGGTTGTGATTGGAAGTGTGGGGATTTGAATTTGTCGTGTATACTGTGTCACTTGCAGTTAAGGTTGACTTTACGTCCTCTTGCGAATTATCAGGCCCCTCCTTGATGTGCGCATTGTCATCCACTTCGGCATTCAACAACTCATGCAATTCATCACTCAACTCATCGCTGCTGCTTTCACCTTTATGTGGGCCCAACTCTTGATCTGGCGTTATGCCAATTTCTTCTTTAACCGCTGCATCACCAATATGTCCTTCACAATCAGTTTTCTCATATGGCGGACTACTTATTTGCTTATTTTTCTTCGAATCAGGTGATCGCTTTTCTGATCCGCTTTCCGTGCGTGGCCGTTTGTTAGCAGCTCTCTCCTGAAAAAGTGTTTCACCACGCACTTTCACACCCATACGTTCCTCATAAGCGGTAAGACAAATGTTTCCACTACCAAGGTATTCCGTTATGCTCAATAATGGGCGGTGTATAGCAACACCTGGTTTGGGTAAAAAACACATTTCAGGATCTTGGAAGGCGGGTATTTTCTCAGTGTTATCTGCTGACTGCACACCATTACACTCTGCTGAATGTGAAATGTTTGCTGCAGCACCAAGTAATGGAAATAATTTCAGTTCTTCTTCTGCCAGTTTTTGATCGGCGCTTTTCCATTTTAATTGAAAGGTTTTAATAAAATTTACAAGTTTCTTATGAAGTGGCACAGTGGTGCGAACACGAGGGTTTTGAGCGACAGTCTGAACGCGTCCGAATGCTTCCATGGTAGCAGGGCTGACAATCACTTCAATTTTTGATGGCAGACGAATATCCTCGAGGGAGTCTGTAATTAAGTAAAAAGTAAAAGTTAACTTTAGTACCACTTAAACCGCTACACAAGTACATACAATAATGTATATACAATGTGTACAACTTATGCTTGAGTGTATCATAAAATCATTCAGACTTATCCTCAGT